GTGAAAGGGAAATGGGCAACAGATTATGGGGGTAATAAGAAGCAACAGAGAGACAAGGTAGGGAGCACACACAGAGAGAGAAAGGGCACTAAACAAAAAGAAAGAGTACACTGGTGATTCTGCATAAAAGTACCAGGAGTTTGAGAGGATATTATAGAGAAAGGGAAGCCAATGAAAGGAGCAATAGAGGTGAAAGATGATCATAGTGTTGAACAGGAAAATTAGATGCCTTGGTGAATTTGGGACTAGAATAAGAGGCTGGAGAGGATAAGTAGCTCAGCCAAGGAAAAGAAACTGCAGTTGTTCTAAAAAATTGTACAGTATATCTTCATGGGTCCATTTTTAATGCAGAAATCATGGGGTAGACTTGTGCTTTCTGACAACAAAGGTATGTGCAAATGGCAGATATGCACCCTTAAACACTCATGTAAATCTGGGTGCTTGATAAAACCCTGACACATATCTTCTTCTTTGGCGATCACTCATAGCCGAGTAAGATTGTCTTCCATAAACATTGTTTTAACAATGAGTCCTTAAGTGACTGTGGAGGCCAATTCTGGATTCTACATTTATATAGAAAGGCATTGTCCACACCTGTGTTGGGGTCAGCTGATTGGAGAGGAGATGGAAAAGGAAATGTATTGGATTAGTCTGCCTCACTTATCCAGGCCAAATTGGGAGGGGGTATCTTAGGTTGCATTCACATAGCGATTTATTCCATTTCCCCTCAACATTTCCCTAACTGCTAATTTCCACATTATGTTTGAGCTTTCACACAACATAAAAGCCTGTTCCGGAAATGTAGCAGTATATATACAAATTTAGTACTCATTTCCATGTTGTTTGCGAATGGATTACTTCTGGAAGTAAATAACATGGACAGGAGCACTAAACTTGCATTATATTCTGCTATATTTCTCAAATTGAGTTTTACATCATGTGAAAGCCCAGAAATTAACAGTTAGGAAAATGTTAGGAAAACAGAATACCCTGCTATGTGGATGTAGACAAAGACTGACACCCTCAGCACATGATATGGATGCATGGACTGTAAGGGCTCAGAATCTCTGCTGCAAATGGTTCTAGGTTTCAAAACCAGCACAGGGCCAAGCAGACACATGTATGAGGGATGTGGTATGACTGACCACCACCAAATAATCCCAGGATGAAAGTTACCCACACTGGAGGAATGACTATAGTTGTAAACAGAACATGGAAATATTCATTTGCAAATCCTAGCACTTATTTTCGGTTCAGAACTTGTGCCTCAACATTTCATTTCTGGATTCAATCACAACATCTAAAGTGACTTTCATTCAGAAGTTCTCAAGGGAGTAGAGGTGTCCAATCATTTATTCAAGTCCCCCCCCCTTAAACTCAACAACAACAGAGGAAATATTCACTGCAAACTTTAAAAAAGAGGGTAGTATACCCATTCAGAATTCAGCTTTACCAAATGAATTCTAAACTATTTTTCACTGGGAAGGCTTAAAACCAAAGCTCTTCATTCCTTATTGCTGATTTCCATCATTTCAGTGAAGGACAATGAGCTAAAATGTGGACATTTTAAAAGATGTGGGATTCCTACAGGCACTTGGCTTTCTAACAAGGAATTTTAACAAAGGGATGGAATCCATCTTCCCTGAGTTTCTGTCCTTAAATCTTTTACTGTTGCTTGACTGCGAAAAGACACACAGTACAAAGATTATTGCAATCTTTGGAAGAGATTATTGCATTTTCAGTCAGCCATGGGCAATTGAAGTATGCTGTAAATTTAATTGGAACTGTCTTTTTATGCCTCATAATCAACACTAAATTAAAGAGAAGAACAGCAAAATAAACTAGAGTTCTATGGCCGGACTTTTTTTTTTTTTTTTTACAGAACTTATCGGAATCACTCTGTATGGAAATCTATAAAATCTAAGACCGACTTTGTTTAAGTAGTATGAACAGATTTTTCTCATTACTTAGCTTTTCCCCCTTTCCTTAGAAAAGAAATGGTCTTAGTTCACATCATTTGAGCTGCAAGGATGTGGGAAGAATTCAATATCTTTGGTAATATACAGGAGCTCATGAAAAGTTTTATATATATTTATATTTTTAAAAAATGCTCATACATTGTTGGTTTTGCGAAATGGCATGTCCACCTCTTTGGTCACAGGTAAGTAACCCACAGCCTACATGTGGTTCCCAACTGCTGTCTACATGACCCACTAATTCCCCCCCCGGGTGGGGGGCACACACTTTCCCCCACTGCCCATCCATCAGCTGCGTCTTGGGGAAAGGATCACTTGTTAGCCTTGAAGCAAGGAGAGGCTCTTTCTGGGATACAAGCAAATGCCCTACTTTCCTTCCTGGAAAAGTCCTTCAGGCTTGTGAATGCATATAGCTAAGAAGACCTACGCTAAGCCTTTTGACCGATGCTCGCAACTGCTTTCTAACTCTTCAAATTAGCCTGCGAAAATGCCACATGGAGGATTACGCCACTCAAGCTTTCCAACGCACGAAGGCCGTGGAAAGTGCCACTTCTGTGCGAAGCTCGCCCCAGTGACTTGTTGAGGGGCAAGGGCGGGGGGGGGGGGAGCACAACAGCAGCATAATAGCATGCCAACATCTGCTATATATGTTTCATTCGCCTTCTGTGTTATTTAGCAGTGATGCAAAAAACAACGACAACATTCCGCTCTGTGCTTTGCCTGTATGGGCGAGCTGAAACAAATTGTTCCAAATTGCTCGTGAGAATGGTGCAGCATCTTTGTGAGACGCACCATCTGTGAGGCTTTCCCCAATTAAAAAAAACACAGCAAGCAAAACTGAAAGCGGACACATTTCTTGTGGAATGAAGTACAGCTGTAGGCTCTTGAAACCACAATCTGCAGCTTCCTATCATGCGTCCCTATTCATCCGAGGGATTTTCCTTGCCAACTATGTGTACTTCTTTTCACTCCTCAATTTCACCAGAAGCAAAAATTTGACACGAGTCTGGATGCCCCTGCTATGACCAATCATCTCTAGCAGGCCTGTGGTGACGTGCATCAAACAAAAGCCAGTCTTCTCAGTACATATGGCAACTCACTTTGATCAAGTACCTGTTTGTCCCCATGCTAGGCTAAGTTTTCATGAGATTTAGTTCACATCAAGAACGCAGTCTCATAAAGCAGTGGACACTAACCTGGTAGGGCCTGGCCACACATCTGCAAGCTGGAGAAATTGTCACGGGCGCCATGCGCTCACTGCAGCCATGCATATGCTGTGCTCCAACAAAGGGCTCATATCCAATGTAGCTCTCAGTAACCATCCCATCAGCGTAATGATTTAGGCTTTTGCTAGAAGACTCTTTCCCTCTCTCATCCCACGATGCTTCACCTGAAACAGTTCTGGAGATGGCCCTGACCCCCTGTAGCAGATTTGGGGAGGGTGTGGGGCATATGTAGGGGAGAAGAGGTGGGGAGAAGTCCCATTGCACAAGCAGAAATCCACCCAAACTTCCTTTCAAAGCTAACTTCATTGGGGATGGGATGGTGAATGGGACCCGGTGGGCACTGGTGAAAGCTTCTGCAGCACATGCACACCCACAAACATCACATTGGCATCCCATGTCATAAGCAGATGGCCAAAAAAACCCTTTCCTCCTTCACACATTTCTTTCTGTGCTACTTCACTGCTGTTTTTCTCTGCAGATGCTGCTGATTTGGCATGATATTGTTTTTATATGAAAAGGTGGGAGTTGTTCTGTTCATAATATAATCACATGTGTCGACGTCATGGACTCTTGTGGCCTATCAGCTGTGCTTTCCAGACCATTGCTACGTCCCAAGACACAAAAAGTCTTATTTTATTTTATTATTATTTTAAAAAACAACAGATATTGTCTAGGAGCGTTTTCTCAGGTTTCACCAACAAAGATGATGAATTTTTTTGAGGCACAAGACAGTTCATGCAACGTACTTGCCCCCAGTTTTAATCAGTACTAATTTTCACTTCTTGCCCAGAACTAGAAAAAATAGGAAGGTTATTAAGAAACTGGAAGATCACAGTCATGACTATTAGGCTTCATTCAGCTTGATGGGTCACGACAAGCAAGTTTGTACTGGCCTGACTGATAAGAAATTTATTATGAATTTGATAAAATCATCCATGTTTCCCTGGGAGGTTTCCCATATTTATAAGTTGCTACCAAACTTTGCAGTTCATGCTCAGGTGAGACAATGGTAGGATTTTTGTGGGGGGAGGAAGGAAGAATCTTGATCATGGTATCCAAGGTGATGTTACCCAGGTATTGTTTGACTAAAACTCCCATGATCCCTGAACACTGGCCATGCTCGCTGGGGCTGATGGGAGTTGGAGTCCACATCATCTGGTTGTCACCATGTAGGATACCCAGATTTTGACCATTTTCTAAGCAGAAGTTGCCTAAAGCTACATACAATATATAGTGAATTTGGAAGGTTCTGTTCAGGCAGTACATCTGTAGGAGTTTCGGGAGAAGCAGGAAGTTTGGTAAGATTAGCAAAACATTTCTAATGGGGGTTGGGGAGTGCTTTACACACATCCTTAGTCTCTCTCTCTCTCTCTCTCTCTCTCTCTCTCTTTCTCTCTCTCTCTCTTTACCAGTACCTGGTTGTTGTTGGGATGCCTTCTTATATTTAATTCCCCATTCTCCTCCCTGTGTTTTATTGCAAAATGTGAAAGAAGTGGGAGATTTTAAACTGAACTTTTCAGAAACCCTCTCTAATTGGCACCCTGGCTAGGAGCCCCAGCATGGGGACAAGCAACTGAATCATCATGTTGTGTGAATTGCCATCTTATTGCTTGTGTTGTCCTCATTTCTACCTCAGGATTAAAGCAGAATGGTGTGTGGAAACCATGAGCCAAATCTTCTCTTTCTCTCTCTCTGTTCAGTGTGTTCCAAACAGTACTGTCTCAGGGAAAGGGAACATCCTTTGCTCAACCAATAAATTCCCTTAGCTAAGGATAAAGTGGAAGATCAAACAGAGTTTGCTCTCATAACACTGCTGAGCCTCACAGATCTGCCACCCTGATCTGAGGAGTCATGTGTTTTTAAGTACTGTACTGAACCCAGTGTTCAAAAATGCCCCGAGAAATGACCTGTTTACTAATTCAGATTTGTTTGTGGACAGGCCATTTTTATTATTTATTTGCTTGCTTTTTTTTATTACCTGATCTTCAACGTAATATCCCCAGGAGGGTTACAAACCCACAACCATAGTGGTTAAACAATCATTATTCATGCAAATGTTATGCCACACTTTGTGGCTCATTTCCCCATCTCTTTTCAAATTGCAAAACATCAATTAGGGGGTGTTTGTTTGTGCAAGAACTCCATAGTAACTTTAAGTGCAGAACTTTAAGTGGATTTGCCAGTATGTGATAGAATCACACCCCAAAACAGTGCCAGTCTGGAACAGCTATTAGCCTCATCAGAGCTTTTCTCCGCCAAAGCGGCAGGGATGTGTGGACCATTACCACCTGTCTCCTTTTGCTCAAAAAACTTTATAATTTCACCAGACTTTCTTGCTGTGACTTCCATCCCTGCTCCCCCCTGCCCACACCACCACAGTACTGCATCTGAGGTGTTTCAGGGAGGAGAAAATGGGTTGCTGGACAACTGAGATGCAAGTTGTCTTATTGCAGAGTGAAAGAAATTGGCACCACCACTGCTCAGCATAATTCCCTTTTCACTGCAGAGGTGGCAAACTTCCTTTTTGCTTGCTTCTCCCGATGTCAAAAAATACCCAGCATTTTAAATTTCTCCCAGGACTAGTTTTAGTTTTATAAAATTTAGCTTTGCTTTACAGTTAGCGATGGCTTTCCGTAACTGCAAATCTTTCTTCACTTGACTCTCTGCCTCTGCTTCTTTCTCATTTCAAAATGGCGGCTCCTAGCTCTTCAGCGGTCCCCGTTAATGGACTGAGGGAGCAGGCCAGTTTTGCATAAGGAGAGACTGCTACTGTCTGACAGCTAGAGGGTAGTCATCCCACATCTTGAAAAAAACTCAGCTAGATGGCAGTGCCTCTCTGGCAGTCTGAATGTGGAAGGATGGAAGAATAAGGAAAAGGAACCCTTCCTGTAGTATTTCAGATGCAAAGGTTCTCATGAAAGAGGTTGTCAAAGGGTGGACACAGGGGCCAGTGACTCTCTCCTTCAGGTGGACAGAACTTGATCCAGTCAGTCTTCAAGCAGACAACTTCAGCCTGAGGTCACAATAGGCAACAGTTCTCCTTCAGCTGGGCAGCATCATCATGAGGTAATAATGGCCAACTGTCTCACCTTCTGGCAGGTGGCAGGAGACTGCAAGTCTCTCAGCTTCAGGCTCGCAACATCAGGATGTGGCAAGGCCCATGTTCAATCTTTGGGCCAGGCCACAGGAGCACAAAGTTATGGTGGCCAGTCTCTCTCCTTTAGGTAGGTGTAGAAAAAGATAGGAAACTTTGGACATGCAAATTGTCCCATAATTTTGGGTTTCTTTAAAGCAGGTGGTGCTAATGTAAGAAGTTTCTGTTCAGTTTGTTAGCATCTTTTAGCACATCTTTAAAGCCTGTACGGGAATTGGGATGGGGACCTTCTTGAACAGGAAAAAGAAAGAAAAGAAAATCCTTGATCATGCAGGTTTGAAAAGTAGTAGTAGTTTCTCCTCCTCCTATCTCATCCAGAGTTTTGAACTGTGGCTGAAATTCTGGGGAATGGAGCAATGGAGAACTTCTGAAACAACAGTGGGATATTAGCTCCGCCCAAGGCATGATGGATAATTGTCACACACAGGAGGAATAAGGATATAGTTTAAATGCTTCACCTATAGCTTTAGAAATAATTTAATATGTCAAGATGAATGGATGTTGTTAATATTGCAGTTGTTGTATAAGGGAATGTAATTGAAGTGAATAAAATTTTGGAATGCAGAAACAAAGTACAGTGGTACCTCGGGTTACAGACGCTTCAGGTTATATACGTTTCAGGTTACAGACTCCACTAACCCAGAAATAGTACCTCAGGTTAAGAACTTTGCTTCAGGATGAGACAGAAATTGTGAAATGGCTGCACAGCAGCGGGAGGCCCCATTAGCTAAAGTGGTCTTCAGGTTAAGAACAGTTTCAGGTTAAGAATGGACCTCTGGAACGAATTAAGTATGTAACCAGAGGTACCACTGTACGTAAATAATAAAACCATCAATTCTAGCATGCGGGAGGCCACCTAAATTTTATAATTCGGCATTTGAATGATTGGGATTAGTAATTGTATTCTAACTTGGCATTGTTATAATGAGGCTACCATTGGATTATTGTAATTGGAAACTAATAAAAATTATTGTTAAAAAAGAAAAGAAATTCTGGGGGATCTGGGAATCTCAATAACCTATCCATTCATATCCATTTCAAATCCATTAACAAGCTTACTTTCTTCTAGGATGTATCTCATAAAACTTGGTGTGTCAAGGCTACTTCCATTACTGCTGCCCTGCCCTTTTTACTATATGAAAATGACACATTAGATCAGAAAATCTGTTTGCTTCCTTTCCAGAGCACAATTCTTCCTGCCCGTAGTCTTCAGTGCTAATACCCTTTTAAGTGGCTGATTTTAAATGCCTCATATGATTGAAGCTTTCCATTTTCCTTTATGGAAAATCATTGCTATAATGATCACAGGGCTGGGTTGTATTATTATCCCAAATATTTCCAAGTTGTTGCCCTGCTCTTTCCCAATATAATTTGGCTGTCTGTCTTTTCCCCCAGTTGCTTTCATTTCCAGGATTGTTTCCTGCGAAATGTCCTGCTGTGATGCAGGGCCAAATTGCCTCTTTGTGGGTTCCTCTCCTGCTTTTTCATTGCAATCATTTCTCTTTTGCAGAGCACTTATGTAGCCTGGCCCTCCTGAGCATATTTGCTGGGATGTTAAGTGCAACTGAGCTCAGCTGAACTAACTCACATGAAAGTGTGCATACGATTGGAGCTAGAGGCATCCCAAGATCAGTGCTTTCGCATTTATCTATAAATGTAGCCTTGCTGCCTTCCTCTACAACATGTGGCTTGGCTCACTTCCTTGAGTAGTAGTAGTAGTAGTAGTAGTAGTAGTAATAATAATAATAATAATAATAATAATAATAATAATAATAATAAATTTATTATTTATACCCCACCCATCTGGCTGGGTTTCCTACATATGGAGCTTTTTTTTGTCTAATGTTACTTTACTTGCCCATGAAAGTTCAGGTATTGAATAATGAGTATAAAAACCTGTCTAAAATGTATAAAGTGTTGCTGGAGTGGCATACAAAAGATGAAGAGGTAAAAGTAGTAATGATACACTGGGCAAGAGACTTTGGTGACAATATACAGTATGATGATTGGATGAAATTATGGAATGAAAGGCTAAAATTTACGGCATGTACTGCGTTGAAAGAAAATGTAATGAAAATGTTTTACAGATGGTATATAACGCCAGTTAAACTGGCCAAAATGTATAAAACATGCAATAAGTGTTGGAAATATAAAGAAAAAGAAGGTACTTTCTATCATATGTGGTGGGAGTGTACAAAGGCGAAAGACTTCTGGGAAATGATATACAATGAATTGAAAAAGATGTTGAAATATGCGTTCGTTAAAAAACCAGAAGCCTTTCTATTAGGAATGGTAGGAAACGAAATCAATAAGAGAGACTGTAAACTGTTTCAATATGCAGTGACTGCCACAAGGATACTTCTGGCTCAAAGATGGAAACAGGAAGAAATTCCAACAGTGGAAGAATGGAGAAGGAAATTGACTGAATATGCAGAATTGGACAAATTGACTGGGAAGATTCGATATCAGAAAGACCAAAAGTTTATCGAGGACTGGGGGAAATTTACAGAATATCTGAAAAATATATGTGATGTACAGACAACGCTTGTTGGTTTTGAAGAGACTCTGTGAAATAGTAAGAAATACTGCAAAAAAGAGAGTAAGAGGAAAAGGAGTGGGGAAAGGCAATATTATGTTTAGAAATGCGTCAATAAATAGAAATTTTTCGAAAGATTGACAGAGAAACTGAGGGAAGTAAAAAATTGAAGAATGAGTGTAAAACAATTTGTTGATTGTATAAAACTTGTTTGGAAAATGAATAAAAATTATTTTTTTTAAAAAAGAAAGAAAGTTCACGACACAACAGACTGGTGACTGGGAGTGGCCACCGAGACCATATAACTTGAAAGAACTACACTGGCTCCCAGTACGTTTCCGAGCACAATTTAAAGTGTTGGTGCTGACCTTTAAAGCCCTAAACGGCCTCGGTCCAGTATACCTGAAGGAGCGTCTCCACCTCCATCATTCTGCCCGGACACTGAGGTCCAGCACCGAGGGCCTTTGGCGGTTCCGTCGCTGCGAGAAGCCAAGTTACAGGGAACCAGGCAGAGGGCCTTCTTGGTAGTGGCACCTGCCCTAGGGAACGCCCTCTCACCAGATGTCAAAGAGAAAAATAACTACCAAACTTTTAGAAGACATCTGAAGGCAGCCCTGTTTAGGGAAGCTTTTAATGTTTAATAGGTTATTGTATTTTAGTGCTTTATTGGAAGCCGCCCAAAGTGGCTAGGGAAACCCAGCCAGATGGGCGGGGTATAAATAATAAATTATTATTTTTATTAAACCTGTTTGTGATACCATAATTCAGCCTGATATCCAACTAAGCCAAACTCAGAAGTGACCCACTGAAGTCAATAGAGCACTGGATTTCACCTAATGCATTTGCAATCAGCTTTACCTCAGTTAAATCAACTATGAGAGATTTCCCAGGGGGGCGGGGGGCGCGCGAATCATTTATACTTCCCAGCTGGACAACAGCCGTAGGAAATTAAAACCACAGCTTGCTTAGATGGTGGGTATCTTGGGCATTTTGCTTTCCTCCTAATAGCTAGTCACTTTGCATAGAATTTTATCAGAGACTGCCCTGTTGGACTGTTGTGACAAGCTCCTAATAGCTGCTTCAGTTGTCTTGATCATAGCAAAGAGCCTGCGATTAAAAACAAGAGGCGTTTGTTAGCAAAATGGGTCACACAAAGCACTGGAGCATGCTTCTGGCAGAATATGAGGAACTGAGATGGGAGGAAGATCGATACAGCTCTCACCAAGCTAATTATGCTTCATCTTTGCTCTAAAGAAAAAAGAAAACCCATTGGCCCTGCTTCCAAGATTGGCAGGGTTAAGGGCCGGAAGATGTCAGTGTCGCACCGAACATGGAGAAAGGCCAGGTGGCGCTGCAGTCATCCCCTGAGTTACTGGGTCAGTAATACAGCATTAGCTCTGAATTCAATGCAATACACCAACTTAAAAAATAGCAACGATGCTATCCATGACATTTTTCAAAAGCTCTGGCCATGGAATATTTGAGAGCACTGGGGAACAAAAGTTCAGCCAGGCTGTACACTCTGAATAACCAGGGGAGGGGTTGTAGGATCAAAAGTGGCAGGAACTCTGCTTGGAAAGCTGCCAGCAGACAGCGGAGAATATATATTCCTGGGCTAGGTGACCAGCCGTCTGTTTCAGAGCTATTTCACGTATCACACAGAACGAGGTGGTGGGTTATCATCCATCATACACAGGTGAGCAAGTTTTGCTATGTTCCCCCAATGTGAAAAGCTCCCTGCATGTAGTAAACTCACACAACTGGAAGAAGGCTAGAGGTGCCTACAGAGTTGCTGTTTTATGAGTGGGTTTCAAACACATTCCATAAATTTTGTTTTCATGGCGGTGAGTAAAGTGCTCTGCCACTCTTGGGACCACCAGATGTTGCTGAACTGTGACTCCTGTCATCCCTGGCCCTTGAGCATGCTTGCCAGGGCTGATGGGAGTTGTAGTTCATCGAAATCTGGGGTGGCAAAGGTTTCCTAGCACAGTAAATTCACTTGGAATAAAAAGGTTTTGTGGTTATGAATGTGACAGGGAAATGCATTGAAAAGTATGGGATAGAGCAATGTTTCCCAAACTTGGGTCTGCAGCTGTTTTGGACTACAACTCCCATCATCCCTGACCACTGGTCCAGCTAGCTAGGGATGATGGGAGTTGTAGTCCAAAAAGAGCTGCAGACCCAAATTTGGGAAACACTAGGATAAATGAATGAATAATGGGGATGTGTAAACACCCTGCAAATGAATCTGAATGAATGTTCAATGAAGAGCTAATCTAACCACCATGTTAGCTTTCTGAAAGCAAATTTGGATGGATGCCACTGCTAACCTGTTCTCGCTGTCATGCTTCTTTTACTACATGTGGGGAAATTGTGAGCATCTGCCAGTTGTAACTCCTCCACTGCATTCTGAGCCGGTACGTCCCAGAAGTCTTGCACCCTGGTTTACTACCTGATTCTGCATGATGACTCTCATAATAAGGCAGCCCCCTGTATCTTAGCAAACAATGGGCTGCCTGTCAGACACGTGCCACAGATCGCTATCACGTCCTTGCGCTTCCTGTTGATGTGCCGCCCAAGAACGAGGCAGAGTGTTATACAGAGAGGGTTCACAAATGAGAAATGGATTTGAAAAACAAAGGGAAAGGGAGAAAACAATAAAGGAAGCTTACTGAGCAAAATGCAATTTCCTGCCATCACCCTCGTCAGAGTCTGCCTGCTCGTGAAATATGAGTCAACTGTTTTAAAATAAGAACAATACAAGAGCACATTGAAAGGCCAATAATTAATATTGCTAACTACATGCAAGGATGCATGAAAAATTCATTGGAGGAGCAAAACTGAGCTCCAGTGCCAATTTCCCTATGAATTACTCAAAACCATTAGGGGTCTAGGCTAGCTGGTGGGCTCCATTCAGGGCCTGCCAAACCTACACTGTCATGCCCCCAAAATTATTCCAACAAGACTCCTACCCTGCATCTCAGACAAGCTCTGCATAGGGCTCATCTCCGGTGCCTCATCTGCCAGATATTGAAGGTTTTCAAGACTTCCTCCACACTGCTACTCTTTGCTTCATCCCTAGGTTCCAAGAGTCAGCAACCCTAGTGAGAATCAAACTGAAAGCTATTCATCAAACTCCCCCCCCCCAAAAAAAAACATTGGTCTCATCCGTACTTTTGCTTGACCTGTATTTTGATTGTATTGTGCCCTGATTGATTCCTTCAGGTCTGAGAGCTTCCCTTGTTGTTCCATGGCTGTGCCTTGCAAAAACCCTACGATTTGAAGCTCAGTTAAGCAAAATCTCTCTCCAGTTTTTCCACACACCTGATAAGATCTGATTCAGCAGTAAGATCAAGTTTTTACAAGCCCAGCCACAGAATGAGAAGAGCTCTCAGACCCAAGGGAATTAATCAGTGCTCAATACGTTCAAAATACAGGTCAAGCAAAAGTGTGGATGAGACCCTAACATCTGTTCCATCTTTCTTTTAGAAACTGCTTCCACCTATAGGGACCTAGTCTTGGAGGCAAGAAAGGGTTTAGCGTTTATTTTTAAATCCATGCATACATGTCTTAAACCTGACTTGAGATGAAGCATTTCTCCAAATCGATGCATTCCTTCATTACACAGCGCACTTAAAATGCAAGTGCCAGTTCTTTTTTCTAATGCAGTCCTTTTTTAAATGTTGGAGCAAGCTGAAAAGTCAAATGGAAACTCACTCACATACCAATTCACAAGGGCGTGAAATGCAGCTGTGAAGTGGCAGAGGCAGCTGGTGTCTGCTGCCACGTCGCTTTGCAACTGGCTCGGCCAGAAATAAACACAGCCGGGACATGTTTTTGGTGGCTGGCCATTTGGTGCATTTTGGGCTCCCCCACACCTGCATAAATACCAGGTGCAGTTCATGGGGAAGGAACAGAAGCCAACAAAAGCATTGGAACTTGGCAGCCACTCCCACAACAAGGAACAAAATGGGGAAAGGTTCAGCAAAGCAACAGGAAACCTTGCCTGTCTGTCATCTGAGACTATAGGAACATAGAATAAGCAGTCTTATCCTGAGCAGGAACATGGGTCCTTCTAATTCAGCACTGCCCCTACACTAACTGGTAGCACCTCTCCAGAATTTCAGACGGCTGTCTCTCCTATGTCCACCTGGAGATACCAAGGAATGAACCTGAGATGTTCTGTATGCATGGTATATATTCTACCGCTGAACTGCAGACCTTCCAGTTACCCAGTGGTGAGTGAAAAAAGGTGGGAGGAACTTATTGGAGTCCTGGATAAAAGGGGGGGTATTTTCAGAAGGGGAAGTGCGAGGAAATCACAATTCAATGGATGGACATTTGTGATGAGCAAAGCTGCCAAACCTATTCCAGAGTGCATCACCCTTCTGAAGATGTAGGTGTTGGTCTATGGAGTTCCAGTTCTGTTAGAAACACCCTGTTTACCTGCATGGCTATCTAACAGCATCCTTTGATTTGTTCTGCCTTCATGGCTGCGATGGCGACAATAGCTTGGTGGATTTTGACACCTGATGTGGCAAATCATAACCCCACATCCGAAATTAAAGGCTATTTTGAAACAGCAGCAATATGATGATGCAGGATGAGAGTCTGATATGTATGCAGGACAATTCTAAATAACAATAATGCTAGAAAAATAGCAAATTAGACAGCTTTAGCCTTAAATAACAGGAATTGCCTTCAGTTTCATTGTTAACAAGATGTCAAAGGAATGCAAACCATAATGTGAAATGCACAGAACGGAAATGTTCCTATTTTATCCTCTGTCTCAGAAAGTTGCCCTAAAGGGAAATGAAATAAATCAGTTAATCTCAAGCAATGGTCTGTGGACCAGTGGATGGTTTGCAGTGCATTTCCAGGTGGCCTATAAAACCATGTGTAACAGATAATTTCCATGTGTGTGGAAAATCTTGCCTCCTCTATCCAACAGAGTCGCTCCCAATTTTATCAATGTCAGCTCTAGACTGCAGTACACAACAGTATAGCTTTTGAAACAGCCACCCACTTGGATTTCGTAGCACAAGGTAATTTGCAAGAGAACAAGGAATCCACTTTTTTTTTTTAACAATATAAGAAACCTTTGAAAAGCGCAACCTTGTTTTCCCTTAACGAAGGTGGGAGGGGGCATAAATGTACAACCTAAGGATATTTCTTTTCTGGGGATATATACGCAACTACAGTAAAATAAGCACCCGCTACCTTGTCATTATGATTGAAGTATAAAATCCCCACAAGAAAAAGCACAGACACACTAATGCACCCATGAGGAAACATCCAAATTACATAAAGCTAACCTTTCCAGAGCATTTACTTGACAGTGAGATGAATGGGATTCTGTATCTCTTCCTTCTTTATTAATACACTTTGGTTCATTTCAGCCCATCCAACCATATTTTAGCAAGAATGGAGGTAATTACTCCATTGCTCTTCTAATTACCATCACATCTCGTTATTATTCAAGGGCATGGGATCACTAAGGGCTTCGGATTTGGCAACAGCTATTAAAAACCCATTCTTACTCATTTGAGGCCTGCAGTGAAAGATAACTGGCGGGAGGCACAGACGTCTACTGCCATGTGCGTGGAGTTCTTGTAGCACCTATTGCCATCCACTGAGTCTTCCTCAGGCAATTTCTTTCTTCCTACGTACAATTTTGTAATTAGAAAAAGGTGTCACTCTGCAGTTTGCATGGCTGCCAGTAGATGGGACTGCAGCATGCCTTCTTTTTCTTCTCTTCTTTGGCAGTCACTCGTAGCCGAGTAAGATTGTCTTCCATAAACATGGTTTTAAGAATGAGTCCGTAGGTGACTGTGGAGGCCAATTCTGGATCCATGCATCCTTCCACAGTGGGGACATTGGTTTCCAGGCAGGAGTTCATTATGGTGTGGATTTGCCAAGCGTGCTCTTAGCATGTTTCTCCCTTGCTTCCTGAGTTCGAGTGTCTTCAAAGCCCATGACACCTTTGGTAAAGGCTACTCTCCAAGTGGAGCACTCGCAGGCAAGTGTTTCCCAATTGCTAGTGTTTATACTACCATATTTTTAAAAAAGATTTGCCTTGAGACAATCTTTAAGCCTCTTTTGTTGACCACCAGCATCAGGCTTTCCATTTTTAAGTTCAGAATAGAGTAATTGCTTTAGAAGACGATCATCAGGCATCCACACAACATGTCCAGTCCAACAAAGTTTATGTTGAGGAATCATTGCTTCAACACTGGTGATCTTTGCTTCTTCCAGTACACTGGTATTAGTTCGCCTGTCCTCCCAAGTGATATGTAAAAATTTTCAGAGACACCGTTGATGGAATCTTTAGAGGAGCTGGAAATGATGTTTATAAGTGGTCCATGTTTCACAATCATACAGTAAGGTTGGTAGTACAATAGCTTTGTAAACAAGCATTTTGGTTTCCCTGCAAATGTCCTGGTCCTAAAACACTCTACACTTCAATTGGAAGACAGCTGCACTCTCAGAGTTCAGGCAACAAAGCAAGAGAAGCAGGATGGCCCACAGTACAAGTGAGTAGACTGTCAGAGCAAGAAACTGAGCAGACCAGCTAGTGGACCAGGAGAGTCTTTCACCGTTAACGTGTCATCGGTGCTGCCACCTGCCTCATTGCCTGCTTTCATGCACATAAAACAGGGAGAGGGAAGCCTGGGGTGAGCAAGCAGTTGGCAGAGCAAATGAACAGCCAGCCAGCTGAAGGAGTTGTGAGGGGATGAAGGGGTTTGAAAGATGACCACAGAGAGAAAAAACCTGAATGGCTACTGAGAAAGCACAAGAAGGCTGGAGGGATGTGTGAGCCTGGAAAAGGAGAGGATTGGTCCTTGTAGGGTTGTTGATGATGTTTTGGTTTTGGTTTGGGGGGAGTGGACATATTTGGATGAGTTTTGGCTGGCTCTTGAGGAAAGCTAATTGTGTGAGACAGACCCACTTTCCTGTAAGGCGAGAGGAAGAGAGTTTGTCTGGAGTTTGAGGCCTGGAATAGATCACCTCTTCGGTGACCAGATAAAAGAATGCTAGATAGAGCCATGGACAGAATGGGAGCAGAGAGCAACGCATCCTTTCATACAGTGAGGCATACGAATGATTCTGTTTGTTTGTTTTTTTAAATAATATTTATTATTTTTCCAAAAACTTAAACACTAAAAAGAAAAAAACCCCAATATAATACAACAAATCAAATTAACAAAACAAGACAAAGACAATAAGATAAATCAAACAATTTCATTATCCCATCTTTCATTTACTTATTTCCACGACCTCCTTACACCTCCCTTTTTGTATTCCACTTCTGTTAATTATTTCAGCAATTCCTTTCCATCTTCCTCTGTTTTCTATCCTATAATTATCTTAACTCATTCTAACCTTATTTTTCCTTTAATGCTCTATTAACCTATCTGTACTTAATTCCTTATAATATTTCTACTAAAGCCATATAACTTCATTCCAACATTTTTCTAGCATTCATTAATTTTACAATATTTCTGTAGATAGTCTTTAAACTTTTTCCAATCTTCTTCCACCGACTCTTCTCCCTGGTCTCGGATTCTGCCAGTCATTTCTGCCAGTTCCATGTAGTCCATCAACTTCATCTGCCATTCTTCCCAGGTGGGCAAATCTTGTGTCTTCCAATACTTCGCGATGAGTATTCTTGCTGCTGTTGTTGCATACATAAAAAAAGTTCTATCCTTCTTTAACACCAATTGGCCGACCATGCCCAGGAGAAAGGCCTCTGGTTTCTTCAGAAAGGTATATTTAAATACCTTTTTCATTTCATTATAAATCATCTCCCAGAATGTCTTAATCCTTGGGCATGTCCACCAAAGGTGAAAGAATGTGCCTTCAGTCTCATTACATTTCCAACATTTATTTTCAGGCAAATGGTAAATTTTTGCAAGCTTGACTGGTGTCATGTACCACCTATACATCATTTTCATTAAGTTTTCTCTTAGGGCATTACATGCCGTAAATTTCATACCTGTGGTCCATAACTGTTCCCAGTCAGCCATCATTATATTATGTCCAACATCTTGTGCCCATTTAATCATAGCTGATTTCACCGTTTCATCCTGAGTGTTCCATTTCAACAGCAGGTTGTACATTTTTGACAAATTCTTAATTTTGGAATCTAGCAATTCTGTTTCCAATTTTGATTTTTCCGCCTGGAAACCAACTTTTTTGTCCAAATTATATGCCTCCATTATTTGGTAATAATGGAGCCAATCTCGCACTTTATTTTTCAATTTTTCAAAGCTCTGCAATTTTAGTCTGTCTCCCTCTTGTTCCAGAATTTCCCAATATTTCGGCCATTTGGCCTCCATATTGAATTTTTTCTGTGCCTTCGCTTCCATTGGTGACAACCATCTTGGGGTTTTCTTTTCTAACAAATCTTTATATCTTATCCATACATTAAACAATGCTTTTCTAACAATATGATTTTTAAACGCTTTATGTACTTTTACCTTATCGTACCACAAATATGCATGCCAACCAAATACATTATTGAAACCTTCTAGGTCCAACACATCAGTGTTTTCAAGTAGCAGCCATTCTCTCAGCCAACAAAAAGCAGCTGATTCATAGTAGAGTTTTAGGTCTGGCAGGGCAAATCCACCTCTTTCTTTAGCATCAGTTAATATCTTAAATTTTGTTCGAGGCTTCTTGCCCTGCCAAACAAATCTGGAAATATCTTTCTGCCACTTCTTGAAACAATTCATCTTATCCAAAATTTGTACTGTTTGAAACAAAAACAACATCCTTGGCAGCACATTCATTTTTATCACAGCAATTGGCCTAACAATGATAACTTCAAATTTGACCATATTTCTAAATCCTTTTTCACTTCAATCCAACATTTTTCATAATTATCCTTAAATAGATTTACATTTTTGGCAGTCATATTAACCCCTAAATATTTCACTTTCTTAACCAATGTTAGTCCTGTCTCTTCCTGAAACTTATCTCTCTCATTTACAGTTAAATTTTTCTCTAAGACCTTAGTTTTCATCTTATTCAGCTTAAAACCTGCTACTTGTCCAAATTCTTGAATCAGTTCCAATACCCTTTTTGTACTAGATTCTGGTTCCTGTAGGGTCAATACTAAATCATCAACAAATGCTTTCAGTTTATACTGTTTAACTCTCACTTGTATACCTTTAACCTCTTGGTCCTTTCTGATCATATTTAACAATTCTGCACAGTTCTTGAAATAACTGAATGCAGGCAGCCCTCCCATTTCTGCTCTTTCAATATGTGCACAACCATGTATACATGCATCACACTGAACCCAGAAGTGACCCAGAAACATCATAAAGATGTCACTGAAATGCCACTAAAAGGGTGGGGTGGGGGCAGAGTGAGGCGTTTGCCGGTTTTTTCAATGTTTCAATTATATGTGTGTTTTACTGATGTGTGGTGTCTTGGAACACAACCCTCATGTAAAAGGGGGGCTGCCTGTAGTTCTTGAGCTACCTGAATGGAGGATTGAGCAGGTTTCCTTAAAAGTAGCAACACCAAAAACACCAGTGTGTATTCTCAAAAGCATTCATGTGTACATGCATGAGGGATCTCCGATTTTCCCTTTCCCATTTAAGCTCTGTGTGCTGTAGCAGAAACTGCTCCCATGCTTACCCTGTTCTTCCTGGAGTGGCTTTTGAGGGAAGTTTGAGTAGTTGGAATGGGCAGGAGCTTCTGAGGTGTTCTTGAGTCCAGGTGAAAACTCCACCTGTGGCACCTGACCGGAGTTTGATGTAAAATGATTATTTTATAGCTTGGCAAAAGAAAGCAGCTCTTTACTGTGAAGTCTTTCCTCACCCCACCCCTGTAGACTAGTGCCCTCAGGTTGCTTCACAAACTGAAACTACATGGAAATGTGTGGGAGCTTTGCTAGCAAAAACAGTTTATATATATGTATGAATCTCTGAAAAGTGGAAATTCCTTTTTAAAAAATATCCATTTACCAAACTTGTGGAATCTTGTAATTTGGATGTGGAATTACCAATCAGGTATAATGAAAGAGAAACATAAACCAGCTCTTGTTTTCTGATCAAATGGTGCCTTATATATAAAAAGATACATAAACCAGACTATTGAAAGAAAATGAAGCACAGCAGGAAGAGATTTAGAAAATCCCCAAATTATCAATTTCAGTCTGTGGCATGTGTGTCCATCTTTATTCAAATAAATCTGGGTGTGATTTATGGATATTGCTAACAAGCTGTGCCAGGTGCTAATAATTGCTTTATAATAATAATAATACTACATGTTGTAGCAAAACTTTACTACGCTGTCAGTGCCTAATTTCCAATAGGAAAAAATGTGCATTTTTAATACCAGTAAATCCATTTTTTAGCAGATCCCTCTCCATTCCTTATCCAGACATGAAGCCATGTTTGCATAGAGAACTATTTGGTCCAAATGCCAAATGTTAGATGTATTTATTTTCTATTTATATATATATTTTCCTAACAATGTATTTGTATTTTGCTGAAAGTCCTTTTCAGGATGAGAATTCCCAGGAAGAGGAGGAGGAAGAGGAGAATATATTAATCTTTCATACAGTGTTTTTTGTTTTTTTTTAAACTACACATATACCTCTCAGACTGCGTCAAAAGCATCTAGGCCTGATAGCTCGAAGGTTAAGCCCTCAAACCCTCCTCTCAGAGCTTTGTAACGGGAGAGGAGAGAGCTACATATATTGCCTCAGAACATAAGGTGATGAAAGATGAGAAGAAACATGCCCGGTCTTTCGAAAGACAGGTTGTGACACGGCATCCATGTCCCACAGGTGTTCAAAGTTTGTCTGTTGATCAAAAACAAAAACCCCACAAGCCACTAACACAAGATTCTGAATCCCTAGAAAAAGCCAGGAGCGGCATTTATGTCTAGAAAAAAAAGGGGGGAGAGAAGTAACAGTTTTGTAGCATCAGAACAGGGCCTAAATTCAATCATAGAGCTCAAGAGTGTGCAGTGGGACCATTAAGGTAGGACTTTGGGGCAGAAGCCCAGGGCCTCACTAAGAAGAATGAGAGGAAAAATCCCCAAAAGCAGCAGAATTGGCTTACCAAATCTGGGAGCAAGTGAAGTAACGGACATTGCCATCTAAAGAGGGAGGGGGCACGCAAGACCTTTAAGTCCAGATTCAAAAAGTATCTATGTGTGCCACTACCTCTGAGAACAGTCACTTGCTCTTTTTCTCACAGGTAACAACGAAGGTGGCATCTTCCAAGAGTCCAGGACTGTCAACCATGACTTTCAACCACTGAAATGTCTCCATATCAGCCTGCAGGTTCTCCCTTTACTCTCTACAATGTTGCCATTATTAAGCCATGTCTAAAATGGGCAGTCAAATATGGTGGTGGTGAAAGAGTGGTCTGTCTGGGGTTTTGTGCTTCTTTCAAGGTGAGTTTCCAGAAAAGCAAGGGGACAAAGCCACTTCCCAACCCCAGCCATTATTTTAATTTTACACTTCTGTATAGATAACGTTCTGCACTTTGCTACATTCCCAGGCCCACCAAAAACCTGCTGCTCTCTATCACTGGATGGGCCAAATATCAATGGGACTCACCTCCAGATTTTCACAGTTAGTTGGCCCTGCATTTTTTGAGGGGGTGGGTCTTTCCCCTCTGACGATATATGTAAAAGAAATATACAGACTCACAAAGGACCTACCAGCCCTCCTCTCCCTTCACCTCCTGCTTTGTCTCCATGCACCCATCTGTTACATAGTAATTTAAGCTTTTGATCTGGCAAGCTACTCACCTGGAAGGAATCGTTATTCCACTCTGGCGAACAGGTGAATGGTTTGCTATCAGAATGGATGAACATTCATGTTGCCTTTTTTCAAATCCTTGTGAAAACTGGATCGAGGAAGACACTGAAGGCCTTCTTTGGTCCCAGACATCAGTGACAAAAGACTTCCTAATTTGTCCAAGTCCTTGTTAAGGAAGTTGCCGTTTACTAGGAAGAGAGGGGTGTGTGGGTGTGTGTGTGTGTGTGCGCGCGCACTGAAGTATTGTCTTACTGATAAAGCCTCAGGCAGCAAATTGCTTGAGCAATGCTGATGTCACAGAGGCTGAGCCGCAGTGACATCACAGACTGAGCTGTGTGGGGAGCAGTGATGGCATCACAGGCAGTGAGAAGCAAATGAAACTTTGTGACAGAGAGTCCACACAGTCAGCATTGCTGAAAGAAAGGCACAGAAAAAGGTAACAAGGTAAAGACCCCTTGGGTGGTTAAGTCCTGTCAAAGGCAATTATGGGGTGCAGCACTCATCTCGCTTCAGGTCGAGGGAGATGGCGTTTGTCCACCGACAGCTTTCCGGGTCATGTGGCCAGCATGGCTAAACTGCTACTGGTGCATGGATGACTATGAAGAGTGCCAGAGCGCATGGAAATGCCATTTACCTTCCCGCCACAATGGTACCTATTTACCGTATTTTTTGCTCTATAAGACTTACTTTTTCCCTCCTAAAAAGTAAGGGGAAATGTGTGTGCGTCTTATGGAGCGAATGCAGGCTGCGCAGCTATCCCAGAACCCAGAACAGCAAGAGGGATCGCTGCTTTCACTGCGCAGCGATCCCTCTTGTTGTTCTGACTTCTGAGATTCAGAATATTTTTTTTCTTGTGTTCCTCCTCCAAAAACTAGGTGCATCTTATGGTCTGGTGTGTCTTATAGAGCAAAAAATACGGTATCTACTTGTACTAAGACTCCCTGGAAAAGACCCTGATGTCGGGAAAGATTGAGGGCACAAGGAGAAGGGGACAGAGGATGAGATGGTTGGACACTGTTCTCGAAGCTACCAGCATGAGTTTGACCAAACTGCAGGAGGCAGTGGAAGACAGGAGTGCCTGGCGTGCTCTGGTCCATGGGGTCACGAAGAGTCGGACACAACTAAACGACTAAACAACAAAAAGCATGCTTTTGAACTGCTAGGTTGGCAGAAACTGGGACACAGCAACGGGAGCTCACCCCATCGTGAGGATTTGAACCACCGATCTTTTCCTGCAGGTTTTGAATAAACATTCACAATTTTTTACTGATAATAACCAGCTAAACAGTTTGAGGATCTATACAACTTTGTAACATGCAGAAAATAGCAATATTAGAGAAACCAAAGACTGGAACTGAGGGAAGTCGGGGGGTGAGGTGGTGGGGGGCTCTAGGTGGGAGGGGGGAGGGGGAGGCAGGAAAAATGGGGGGGGGAATAAGGATATGTTTTTGGATAATATATTTGTTATAACTTTGAATAAAAAAATGGGGGGAAAAGGAACCACCGATCTTTTGATTGGCAAGCCCAAGAGGCTCAGTGGTTTAGACCACAGTGCCACCTGCATACCTCACACAGAACAGGCAGTGGACAGGGGGAAAGAGACCTGAGAAATGGGGCCTGAGAGGAGGGTTGAGAAGGCTTGAAGCAAAAGGACCATGTAGAAACATTTTGCTGAACCAAAACTTTGCTCCATCCAGCTCAATATTGTCTACAATGAATGGCAGTGGCTCTCCCAAGATTTCAGATAAAGGTCTCACCCAGCTGGAGATACTAGGGATTGAGCCTGATACCTTCTGCATGCAAAGCAGATGTTCTCCCACTGAGCTATCGCTGTTCCCCTTTGGGTTGGGGCAAATCAAGGAGGAATGGGGAAAGAAAACAGGATTCTAGGGAAGAGGACAGGAGGCACGGAGCAGAAGAATGGGGGAAAGGGAAGGCCTGAAGAAGAAATCAGTGTCTAAATGTGCATGACTGTGATAAGCTGAAATCGTAGCCTCTGGCTTCTAGTCCATATGAAAGAAAGTTGGCATAACACATGATACCAGCACTGAAGAAACCTGAAAGAAAGAAGAAGGAGCCTGCTGATGTTCAAAAACAACATTTCCTCAAAACAAATATATGCTTAACGAGAACAAAATGGTTTACCACATCTAGTTAGCAGTCTCAAGGCATCCGGGCTTCTGCTTCAGTGCTGCGTCAAAGCTGATCTCAGGGCTGGGGTGAAAAAGCTTGAAGCCTTAAAGCCCAACTGAGCATCAGCGCAGCAGTAAAGCAGAAACCCTAATGCTCGCGATGGCCAGCTGGATGAGTTACATAAACATCTTCTGCTACCCCTGTTTGCCAATGAAACTACATGGAACTGATTTCCCAAGTACCTATAGAGAGTTCTGTTTGGGCAGCTGGCCCACGCATCAAATTGAGCATCGGAAGCATAACACATTATTTAAAATAGGCAGAAAGAAGGGGCACTTACATCCAAACACTGCAGTGTGGCTTGTAGCTGTACTCACGACTGGATAGCTGGAACCTCGCCCTCTCCCAGGACATTCCATCTCCTCCCTGCTGGTTTTGCTATTCTCCTCCTCCAAGGATCAGTTGATATTCTGTTGGGAATGAGTAAGTTCAGTCCTCATTGGGCTGCTTATAGAGGCTGCTTTCACCAACACAGGCATTTCTAGGCACAATTTGCCCTCACGGCCTCGGCCCAGTATACCTGAAGGAGCGTCTCCACCCATATTGTTCAGCCCAGACACTGAGGTCCAGCTTCGAGGGCCTTCTGGCCGTTCCCTCACTGCAAGAAGCGAAGTTACAGGGAACCAGGCAGAGGGCCTTCTCAGTAGTCGCTTTCACCCTGTAGAACGCCCTCCCCTCAGATGTCAAGGAAATAAACAACTATCTGATGTTTAGAAGACATCTGAAGGCAGCCCTGTTTAGGGATTTTTTAAATAACTGGTGTTTTGATGTATTTTTAATCTTTTGTGGGAAGCCGCCCAGAATGGCTGGGTAAACCCAACCAGATGTTTTTGTTGTTGTTGTTGTTGTTGTTGTTGTTGTTGTTGTTACTACTACTACTACTACTACTTGATGTTATTTAGTTGGAGAAGTGCACAGTGCGGAATCTGGAGAAGTGCAGATTTTGATGGATATCCACGCTTTGACTCTCAGATCTCATTGTTTTGGGAAGTGCAAATGACATGGATTCGTGATAAAATGCAACCTAGCCCAAATTTATCCCCATATCTAGCTCTCAGAGCATCCTTCGTGAGCATACAGCACCACAACCCCAGTGGCTAATTCTGTCCCATTGTTCACAAATCAATCTCCCTCTGAAAGTGCTGCTGTGTCAGTGTCTAACTTGCATCTGCATGAATATGCAAGACAGCAGCACTCAGACTGGGAGGAGGGAGCAAAAGGAGCTTGTCAATACTGGTTTGTGTGTGAGTGAATTGGACACACACACACACACACACACACACACACAAATGGTATTTTTATTTAATTTGTCTTTGGAATGGAAAGTGTGTAATCATGTGGAAAATGAATTAGGACAACTCACTTGTAGGTATTAAAGAAGGGGGGCGGGAACTGCACACCTCGTTTTCCTGAAGGATATGGCTGTTGAGATATGATAAAGCACATTTTCACCTACCACCCTTCTCAACAGCTTTTTGAAGTTTGTTGGGAAAACAAACACTTTTTTTTAAAAAAAAAGTAAGAGAAAACTCTGTTCTGCTTCATTCTCCAAAGAAGTAATTTTGTCACAAAGTTACACAGATGAGAAGAAATTTCCTTTTCATATACCTGTCCCCTCCCTTCCTCTCACCTGTAAAATGTGCTTGAGCCACAGTCCATGTGTACTGGAGGATGCGAAAGGTGAAATCCTGAGTTATTGGGTTATTATTTTTTCTAGGGCTGCTTTATGGAAACAGTCTTTCTGCCCTTTTACCACTTTGGGTTGGCAACTGGAAGCCTCAGGGCTCATTCCACCCTCCCTTCAGGTTGCATCATTTGGCTCCTCCAGTGCCAACTCAGAGACACTGGTACTGAGGATAAAGCAGTCACTATGGCCAGGGGATCTGGCTGCAGGCTACTCCAGGATGCTTGCCCTAGCCTACCACTACCCATTACATTTTTATAGCAGTCCCCTGGTAAAACTAGTTAGCTTTATTCGGACAGTTAACGCTTGACATTATTATGACTGCTATCCAAAACAATAGATTAATTTCAGTAACTTTAATACATCTGCCTAATGCTGTTGTAGATTATGACCAGTGAATGTATGCTCCTCTTCTTCATGGCAAAGTGCTGTCATTTTAGAAGGAAGGCCTTTACCCTTTTTCCTTTGAAATCAACCAGACTCATTTCCTTTTTTTATTATTTGTTTATTTGGTTTTTCAGATTAAAATTTTACAGTCATATATCAAACACAGATAATAAAAACAAGATTCCAATGAATCTCCTGGACTTCCATCCTCCCCTTTGTGGGTCCTATTATTAATCGTTTTCTCCTGCATCACAAAAGCCATGGAAATAACTGAGATTTAGCCCTGTGGTTAACTGGCTACAGCCTACGTCAGGCAGTGTCAACATGAGGTCACACCACCCAGTCTGACTTCTTCCAGTATGAAGCATCAGAGTGAAGTCAAAGTGGTCAGCCTCTAACCCCTTCAGGCAGACAGCATCAGCATGAGATCACAACTATGGCCAACTTTTCAACAGCATGTTGACACAATGGAGATCACACTCCTTTAGTTAGACAGCATCAGCATGAGGTCACAATGGCCAGTCTTAATTCCTTGAGTGTCAGGGGAATGATGGAGACCACCTCCCCATCCTGACCCTTCCAGGGAGGAGGAAGATAAAGACAGTACAGATTTACAACAGGGGTTTGCGGGAGGTCACAGCTCAGAGACAGATGAGGGGGAAAGTTGGGAAATCATGGGAAAGGAGGAGCAGGCAGAGCTGGAGCAGCAGCTGGCTGACACAGTGTCATTAGAAAGCATTCCAGACCCACCATCTCCTAGAACCCAGCACGCCTTGAAAGCAGGAGAGCAAAGAGCTCAAAAACAGAGGACACTTAACGGCACCAGTAGAAGAGATGATGAGACTGACAAATGAGGAAGTGGAATGTAGGAATGAGGAAGTGGATGTAGAGATTCACATGGCTCAACGCCATTATCCAAGAGGCTGGATTCTATAGCCTCTCTCTGTAAATATTAAAATAAAAAAGGACGGTAAGAAACTTTTCCTTGTTTTTCTACTTTCCTGGGCAACCAGTTGGGAGCCACTGACAGCATCCTGACATTGGGTGAGAATATTGCTTAGTCCAGGCTTCCTCAACCTCGGCCCTCCAGATGTTTTGAGACGACAATTCCCATCATCCCTGACCACTGGTCCTGCTTGCTAGGGATCATGGGAGTTGTAGGCCAAAAACATCTAGAGGGCCAAGGTTGAGGAAGCCTGGCTTAGTCTCTTCCTTGCTCTAGGCACAATGTCCTATCCAATGGAGGCAGCGGGCAGGAGATGAAGTGTGCACAATCTATTTCTCATGGAGATGGGCAGCAGTAGAACTGGAGCCCAGTGGTCACCAGGGTCTCTCTCACTGAAAAGAGAAGCAACAGTGAAAGGGGATGAGAGAGCCAGCTGGCTGGCAGGCAGGCATCCCAGCTATTCGTAGGGGACTTTCTGCACTTACCATTTATAACTGGTATAGTTGCTGGATTTTGGGATTTGTGGTGTGTTGCCAAACAACAACATCCTTGATCAGCTAGTATCCCAGAATAATGTACTCAAAAGAACACCGTGTGTGAGCTCCGTTCAGAGGAGAGACCTGGCAGATAGAGATGATGATAATGAGTCGAGGTGCTGCCCATGACAGCAGTCAGTAGCTGCAGACAAAATTCCATGACAATAGGCAGATTCACCATAGCTCAGGCAGAAATGTAGTTACGCTCTGCACAGGGTTTCAGACAAGGGACTTTCCCATCCCTACCTGGAGATGTTGAGGATTGAACCTGGAACCTTTTGCATACAAAACAGATTTTCTATCACTGAGCTAGTGCCCTTCACCTCCATTTCTCTAGTCCCTGTCCCTGTTGAAGGTAGAGGCCCAAGGCACTGAGGAAGAGGAGGAGGAGGAGGAGGAGGAATATGGTATTGACAGCCGCTGTAGGGGTAAGGTTGAGGGTGAGAAAAAGAAAAAGAAAATATATAAGAAATGTTCTTAGAAGATGTCTCCTGAGAAATCTCTGCTCTGCTCTCTAGCACCAGCACACAATTTGGGAATTAATGTGCTACACAACAGTCATTTCAAAAGTTTGAGGAAGTATTGGCAGCAGGTGTATCTACCTCACTCTGCACTTCTGCACTGGGTTGCTTTCTTTTGGGGTGGGGGAAAGAGGTTGGTGGCAGCCCCTGGGACCCCCACCCCCTGAATCTGTGGACCCGGGCATTAGCCCAAAAAAGCTGAATGTCGCCACTAGGCCCTTGTTTGTTTCATACGAAATCATAACGTATTCTGCCTAATTTCAGCAACGTTTTGACTTACAGCCACACAAGTGTATGCGTGTTTGCTCATAAGTAAGTCCCATCAGTTCAATGGCACTGCTTCCTGCTAAGTGTGCTTAGGACTGGAGCTTTAGAAAGTTATTTCTGACAGCTACTATTTTTCAGACAAATGTGTGCTTACTCGCAAGTACCTCGGAAAATATGCCGAAAGCCAGTGGGGGTGGGATACAGATAACAATTGTCTTCAAGAAGGTTTCGGGAAGTATTTTGTTTTCATCATTTTCTGTTTGGCAGGTTTTGAAGCGGATATATTTGTATTCACAGCGTTTCCCATTTTCCCGTACACTGGTTCACATTTTCATAACTTTTACTACTCTTTTCTCCTTTAATAGTGAGAAAGAACTTGGCATTCTAAGAGATCTCACTGAAGCTTGGCCCTTAAAATCACTGCTGCAGTTATGCGCTGACCTGTAAGATGACTTCCAAGACTTTTCACACATGAGAGGAAATAGACAATAAAACTACTCCTTAACATTCTCTACCAGCCATTCTGTACATATAACATAAGCTCCTTGCCAAAAGGAAAGAAAAAAAGCATAATAAGAAAACAGTGAAGACTATAGCCTCTTCTGATTTTAACTGCATGGTGAATATTTATTGGGTGTAGAGAGTATTTCTCCCATCGATGAAACAATTTTTCATGATAAAACTTCATTTGGCTTGTTTTGAAATCTTGGACCCTCGGCAGAAAATAATTTTTTAGTTGACTCTTTATGTAATTCCCTGAAATGGCAACCTGCATTTTTAGCACCCTCACACACATACAATTAGGCATTGTTATGGCACTTGGAGACTTATTATTAACTTTGCACTCTTTAAAAAAAACCCATGCTTTTAATTATTATTTTTTTAAAAAAGTGTCTGCAACAGATGCTTAGCCAAAAGATAAAAAAATAAATCAGAAAAGCTTTGGAGATGGATTAAGGAAAAGTTAATGAGATGGGAAGTTAAAGAACAAAGTACACGGACAGAAGATGCATATGGGACAAAGTGCCTGAGAATTGAGCAATGTAGAAGCCAAACTGTAATTCATCAAGGCATGGGTTGGCAGTGAGGAAGATGAGCAATGCAGAAACATGTAAGAAAAGCAGGCAGGCAGGAAACCAACACTAAATCACTTCTAGAAATCAACAAATTTGTCACGTTCGATACAACCTTATCCTCAGTTTGCCATATTTCTGTGTCAATTTGTGATCTTTTCCCTAAAAATAATTAAATCCCCATACAAATATGTCACCATTTTAGCATGTATTTTTTCCCCTAATATAAACTTTTTTTAAAGTTAAGAATGTACCCTTAATATTATTTTTGCTACTATTTCCATTTCTGTGCACTTTTGTTGTTGTTTAACTGCATCACAACCTTTGGAGAAGTGCAGTTTTCAAGGGAGTGCTGCATTGTGGAAAGCACAAGTTAGGTAGGTTCACATTAAAATCCTAATGAAGCAGAATTTCTCCCTGTCTCTGACCGCCACTAGGGGTGTTTTCTAAACTCCCACCATCCAAATTAATCCGAGGAGATATATTTTTGGTAGTACTGAATTGCCTGGCCCTGTCTCTAGCTGGAACTGGTGTGTTAGGAATTCACATTGCTCCATTTAAAGCAAACTCACCAAACAACCCACAGTGCACATCTCTAGACTTCCATGGCTCTGAGTCCCTTCTGCATCTCTGCATCTACATCCCCTCTAGGCTACAGAGGCACATGGTATAGAATACCTAGAACCAATTCTGTAGAGTGACCTTCTTTTTGTAGGGGTGAGGTGGAGGGTGTGAAAAAATAATAATCAGAAATGTTCTCAGAAAAATGTCTTCTGAGAAATCCCTGCTCAGCTCTCTAGCACCAGCACATAATTTGGGAATTAATGTGCTACACAACAGCCACTTCAAAAGTCTGAGAAAGTTGTGCTTAAACTAATAATTCAATTAAGCCAGCCTTGAAGCATCTCACCCCTCCCCTTTACCTCCAAAAGAGAAAAACAAAACAACCCGAGTTTATTTGCTCTTCTGTGGATAACTTGGGAAAACAGCAAGCCTTGTGTATTCAGCAGTAACAACGACTCTTTGCTTTTCGGGTGCATGCTTAAAAATTCCACTGCTGTTCTCGTGCTAACATTCTTCATCTCTACCTGATTTCTGCCAAGGGTGTTAAAAAAGCCCCTCTTTTCTTTCTCTCTCATACTTCATGGGACTTATTTACCTTTTCCAACGTCAGACTCTCTCAGTAGCTGGAATCTGAAGTTGTGCTAGAAGGGAACAATGTGTGATGAATTTTAAACCAGATTTGTTTTTTATATATAAAAGACATATTGAATTGGCTGCAGGTAATTGGGTGTGTGTTTCTGTAGCTTGTTAGATCATTCCCCTAAACAGAACAACATCTAATTTAGTATTCTTCCACTCCATTATTCTTCTGCAGAGGCCATGGCTGCTTACTTGAAGGGCTCCCAGTAGCCTACCATCTAGATAGCTATCAGGTCTATCAGCTTCTTATCTTATCGCCATATTTATAGGAAACGGTTCAAATGTTCTCCATTAAGAGAACCCAGAGAACCCTTTTAACATCTTGTTGTCCACTGAGAAATCCCTGGGGAAGTTGTTTGATGGTGGTGGCGATGATGTTATACTTTGTAAAAGCTTTCAGATTTCATTGTATGCCACCTAGAGTCTTTTGCATTAGCTAACTGACAAACTGAATAAACGAATGAAATCCTTTCTGCTGTTGTTATCGTTGTTCACAAACTTACCGTATTTTTCGCTCTATGGGACCCTCCAAAAATGAAGGGGAAATGTGTGTGCATCCTATGGAGCGAATGCAGGCTTCTTGGCTTCAGCGATAGCAACGCGAAGCCTCCAAAGCACAGAGGGAGAGCTCCCCCCGCGCTACGGAGGCTTCGCGTTGCTTTCGCTGAAGCTGCCTGAAGCTGTGCTCTGGGGGCTTCAGGCAGCTATCCGCAAGCCTTCGGAGCGCAGCAGGAGTTCCCGCCACACTCCGAAGGCTTGCGTATGGCCACCTGAAGCCGCCAGAGCGTAGTGTGAACGCCCGCTGAGCTCCGGGGGCTTCAGGCAGCTATTCGCAAGCCTTCAGAGCGCAGCAGGAGTTCCCACCATGGTCCGAAGGCTTGCGGATAGCCACCTGAAGCCTGGAGAGCGAGAGGGGTCGGTGCGCACCGATCACTCTTGCTCTCCAGGCTTCGCTTCGCTGGAGAGGTGCTGCACAGTTTTCCCTCTCTGCGCAGCGCCCCTTCAGCGAAGCAGGAGGAGAAATGGAAGGGGCTCCGTTTCTCCTGCCGCTTTGCTGAAGGGGTGCTGAACAGAGAGGGGGAGAATTTTTTTTCCTGTTCTCCCCCTCGTATGGTCCGGTGTGTCCTATAGAGCGAAAAATACAGTATATGCCACTGAATTACAAAATAGGCTTCCAAGTAGCTTCCAGGTAGAAAAACCAATGGCACAAATGTTAAAATAGTAGCATCCATAATTGAAATACATAATTGAAATATTGAAATAGATAATAAAACAATCTTGTTAAAATAAAAATAAAAATATTAACATCCATAGGTAATTGAAATATGCAACAGATCCCATTAAAACAAGACAGAAATTGAAGCAGGAGATTCAGGTCAAGAGATCATGGGAATTCCTGTGTAAGCAGATGCTTCTTCAAAATGCTGTGGGATGTCAATACAGATGGGGCTTCTCATACAGATGGGAAGAGCATCCACATGCATAGGGCTTTATGTATCCTTGCCCTGGGGGACTTACAATCTGGATATCAATGCAAATGAGCCAGAGCAAGGGGAATGTTAGCAGGGGTAAATGGGGAGGAATAGGTTATTATTGCAAATCAGTTCCACTTGCCTAGGCTTAATTTCAGCAGAGTGTGGAGGATTTGGAGTTTGTGACAAAGGCTTCCCAGAGAAAGTGGATTTTGAAGAAAATATGTACAGTTACAATGACGTACTGGAAAGTGGTTCGAGCTGCTGGAGCCTCCAAGGGGAAAGGAGGCAGAGATGAGGCAAGGACTTTTCTTTCAACTCTGTGAAGTGTCATGTACACTGAAAGGAGGAAGAGGAAGATGATGATGAGGAGGAGGATGGCCTCATCTATCTATCCCAGGGGTACTCAACCTTTTTATACCTACCGCGCACTAATGCATCTTTCTTAATGGTAAAATTTTCTTACCGCCCACCAGTGCTCGATGGAAGGAGAATTCAGCCTGTGTCATAGAACCCGCTACTGCCCATTTGAATCCTGAAATGCCCACTAGTGGGTAGTAGGGACCAGGTTGACAACCCCTGATCTATCCAAAGATGGACCAAACTGAAGATCTCATGGCTTGGTAGAGTTAATACTCTTAAAATGAATGCATTATTAGGGTGAAAAGAATCCGTTTGACAACATTAAGACACTAACAAACTATAGAGAAACATCTTATAGTAGCATCACCCACTTAGAAAAAAACAACCCAAAGGGAAAGGTTGATTTGCATGTCCAAAGTTTCCTTTGTATTTTTATTCTAGTGTTACCTTCTGCTGATGCTGCCTTTCTGGAGGAAAAAGACTGGCCCCGTGACATTTTGGTTATGTTTCTTGGCCAAAAGACAGAGCTTGCCCATTGCAACATCCTGGTGTTGCCAGCCCAAATATAAGAGACTGGCTATTGGGACGTCACACTTATGCCACCTGCCTGAAGGAGGGAGGTTGGCCACTGTGAATTTGAGATTATGTGGCCTAGGTGAAAGGGAGCTTGGTCACTGTAACATCTTGATGTTGCCAGCTTGAAAGAGTGAGACTAGTCCTTGTGACTTTATTGCAGATAATTAATATTGCACAGGATCAATAAAATCCGACTCCTCTTCAAATAAAAATTGTCCGGACCAAAATATGGTTCCAAAATTTTACCAAACATAACTTTCTTCAGACAGACAAAAAAACCAATAAATGATATCTCCAGATAGTTGCATAAATCATATGCTTCTCCAAGCATAGGTTCAGCTTCTTGCAAATACGAAATAACTACAAACAGACCTAAAATCAAAGGTCTTTCTCTCCACACAGACTCCATTGCAGCCTGGAGCTGTTTCCCTTCTGTAGAGACCTCATTAGTTCACCTTTGTCTTTGGTGGCTTTCAGGAAAAAAAGGAACAAAGACCAGCTCCCCAAGATGATGATTTGCAACTAAATAACTATCTCATGTGATCTAAAGTTAAACACCATGTGAGAGAGCAGAGAGGCACATCAACAGATAATTATCAACCTGTTTAGGTACCCGGAGAACTATTCTTAGCTTCAATGGAATTTCCCAAGTTAGCAATTCTCATATGAAGTTATTTTTCATTTCAGTGTACAACTAAGCATACTGATGCTGCCTGCCTGAAGATGATGAAAGACAGTCTTCAGACCACCTCATCATGGGATGATGATGATGATGATGATGATGATGATGATAATTTATTTATACCCCACCCATCTGGCTGGGCAGCT